AGTCTGCAACCCCTATATGTTGCAATATTTTGAGCATAATTTTGCTTGCATAGGAGATTAGTGCTACTGTCCTATAGTTGCTGCAGTCTCTTGTGTCTCCCTTTTTGTAAATTTAACCAAACCACTTTCTCCAGCCTGTGTACAAATAAATCTTTGTTTTAAAATTATATTGCATTATCCTCCTAGAATACCTTGTTTTTATGTGCCTTCAAGTAATTTCTGACTTATGGTGATCCTAAGATAAAAATGGGGCTTTCTTGGCAAGATTTGTTCAGAGGAGGTTTGCCATTGCCTTCTGAGGCTGAGGGCATGTGACTTACCCAAGGTGGGTTTCATGGATGGGCTGAGAATTGATCCCTAGTCTCCAGAGTTGTAGTCCAACATCTATCTATTGTGTGCCTTCAAGTCATTTTTTTACTCAAAGCAACCCTAAGATGACCCTATCATGGGGTTTTCTTAGCAAGTTTCTTCAAAGGAGGGTTGCCATTGCCCTCCTCTGAGGCTGAGAAATTGTGACTTGCCCAAGGTCATCCAATGGGTTTCTGTGACAGAGCCAGGATTCGAACCTTGGTCTCCAGAGTTGTACTCCAAAGCTCAAACCATTATGCCACACTGGCTCTCGTGCCAACACCTACAGGATTTGTTTTCTGTTTCCCCCCCCTTCAAATCTCACCCTTTCCATTAAACATTTATTTAGTCTCCACACCACTCCACAGCTGTAAAACCTGTGAAATTAAAATTACATTTACTTGATTCCCTCTTTGCTCCCCTTCTTGCTCCATCCCTCTACTCGCTGCCCCTCATTCAGTCAAAATTGAAAGTGGCAAGTCCCTGGGGCAGGAACCTGTCTTCATCTTATGTAACTCTAAAATACCATATACAGTACACTGATGGCATTAAATACAAAAGAGATAATAAAAATAAAACTTCACTGATGCCACCCTACTGCTCCAGAATGCATGTGGAAACCTGCACCCCAAACCTGCCTGCTAATCACTGTTTATCTGGTTACACTGCTAACATCCATGATTATCATGTCTTTTTCATATTAGGAATAGGTTGAAGATAAAAATCATACAAAGTATTCTCACTAAACAAGTTGCTGGTATAAGTGTGACAGAGGGAACGAAATCAGTCATCACCCCATCATCATTTTTTAATGGGACTCCTAGACACTTGCACTTTATAGAAATGGCTTCTTCATGCTACATGCTTATCATCATAATTTTTAATGGGACTGCTGGACATTTGCACCCTATAGAAATCAAGGCTTAATAGTCTGATTCAAACCTTTAAAGATGACTCTGTCTCATCTTCTCCTGATGAAGCTGTTTAATCTCAGATGAAAGAGCCATATAGAATGAAACAAATTAATTCCCAGCCAGTGTTTCCCCATTTATTTATTTATTTATTTATTTACTCCCTCCCCCCCCCCACTCTATAGGACAGAATGGCCAAAAAAGGAATACCAAGGCAAGCATAAGTGATTAAAAACTGTTTAAAAAGAGGGCAACAATTGAAGTAGAAATCAGATTTTGATGGTTGTAGTGCTGCAAGGCTCTACTCTCTTATCTACCAGAGTCACCTTCAGTCTTCTACACTCTCAGAATCCAAAATTCTCATTGGCATTCCATTTTAATTGTCACTTTTGTAAGTTTTTAATCATACTGTGCTTTTAAACCGTAAGCCGCTTTGACTCCCAATTTTGGGGGGAAAGTGGAGTATTACTACTACTACTACTACTAATAATAATAATAATAATAATAATAATAATAATAATAATCCTATCCTTGCTTTTATACCACTTTGGGGCCTGGGAAATGGACCAGAAATTGCCTCCTTGATGTTTCTATTTGTAGGCAATAATTTATGGGAGGGGAATTACATATGCTGTTATAGTCCAAAGTAGTGCAAAGTTGTTCTCTGAGGGTAAAGACAAGATGATCATCTCCCCTTCATATGCCATGTACGGAGTCTCACCAGAGTAAGAACTGAATCTGACTTCAACACACTGTTGATAGAACAATATTCTTCCACCAACTGTACTTTAGTGCATCAGGCTAGTTTAAAGGACTCTGAGGAAAACAGAAGTTGGGAGGGTGCATTTGCATCTTAGTATTTGCCCCCTGAAGCAGCTGCCTCACTGTTTAATGGTAGGTCCATCTCTGTAGCCATGCATTTAATTTGAGCTGCATGTGTAAACCAGACACAAGCTGCTATATTCTTATACTACCCTCCAACATTTCACAGACAAAAGCTGTGACATGTGTGCCAGAACATCAGAGTCAGGTCAAGACGGCAAAGTTGTAAATGGGGGTGGGAAACACAAGCTATTAGAGGTTGCGGCAATTTGCTTTTACATGAGTCCCCATTCCTCTCTACTTTAGTTAACAGAACACAGACTACATTTGGCCCTCCGCATTTGCTGCTTTGACTTTTGCAGATCTGATTATTTGAATAATACATTCTCTCTAGGAATCTCTGGGTCATTCAGCACAATTCTCCTGGAAGTTGACCATAGAGTTGTGCTGGAAGACCTACAGACTAGAAAAAAACACACCTCTGGCAGATGTTCACTATAGAGTTGAACTGGAGGACCTAGAGATTCCTAGAGATGTTTTCGCTCAGGTAAAAAGAATAGTGTTTTTATTTGCGGTTTTTCCACTTTCCTGGGGGTCCTTTGAAAGCGAATGTGGAGGGCCCACTGTACTTTTGCACTTTGAATTCAGTTTGCAGATATAGAAGTAAACTGAGGACAAAGGGGGAAAGTAGGCAAAGGACAGAGAAATTAAACAGACATTTGAAAAGCAGCTGAAAAAGTGAGAGACAGAAGTTTAATAGGGACTGTCCGTGCCAAATCAAAACAGCTGGGAGGGTATGCGCACAGGATATGAAACAAATGTTCCTGTCCATGAGTCTAATGCTGGCTTTCAGAGGGTTCTAGGCAAAAGCTGCCTTTGCCAGTAAAATACATTGTACAGATATCTATTCCAGTCTTCTCTCTCCAGTTTAATTTTTTGGAGTTAAAAAAAAAAAGAGGGGAGGAAAAGTGCAAAAGCATAAGAGTTACAAATGGAAGAGGACTCTTAGAGTCCCAGTAAGATGCCATGAATGAAGTAAGGCAAAGGTACACTAAGAGCACCCATAATCTCTAGTTCTTCAAATTGTTAGGCCATCGGGTATGATCTAATATCTGTGTTCATGAACAGCAATAAATTGCATAATTTAATTACTGTTTTGTCATTACTCATGCCATTATGAAATATGTACCCGTTCTGTCAGCCTTAACCTCAACTGACACACCCTAGTATTGTGAAGTCTTCACAACCTGTCCCAGATTTGATATTACTGAATAGAATTAAAAAGTGTTCTCCACCCTTTAAAAAACACAAAGGGACCAGGTTGGGTTTATTCTGAACCCATCAATGTAAGACAATCAAACCAATGCAAAACATTTTACCATCACTCTTTGATTAGAACAAATCCTTTGATGAGAGCAAAGCCTGTGTATTGGCTAAGAAGGTGACACTTTTTTCATAAGCAAACTCAGGGCTCAATCTGATCTCAGCAGAACTCAGCCCTAGAACAAGCACTGAGGTAAAGATACAGTTCTGAGCATGCCAGAGTACCTTCTTACTCACATACACACAATAATAATGACTAACAATTTGCTGTTTTGCTTCATGCCTGGGGAGGTGGATGGTAGGGGGATGAGGGACAGGTAGCTGCCAAGTCAACAAAAAAGAGGTATAGGAAAACACAATGCTAGGAGACACTGGGCCCTCCTCTTAAGAAAATAAATAAATAAATAAATAAATAAATAAATAAATGAAATAGATCTGATGTAGCTCTTTATTTATGGCACTCCTCACACATCTTCTATGGGCCTCCCTGATTCCCTGCAGTTTCAGATACAGTGCTCCTCACTATCAGTTTCTTCACAGAGATCTGTTGAGATCTGTGATAGGACTTTTTCAAACGGGGGGAAATTCTATGAAGAAATGGGATTTAAAAGGTGGGGAAAACCCGCAAAAGCAGGTAGATTTTCACACACATCACTATTAAAGTGTGCTTAATCTGAACGGAAGTAGTCAAAAGTCACTTCTTTTTACTTTCGGGATTTTCCAAAAGTAAAAAGAAGTGGCTTTTGACTACTTTCCGTTCAGATTAAGCACACTTTAAAAACGACGTCATCTGAAAATCTACCCGCTTTTGTGTGTTTTTTCCCTATCTAAAACCCTATTTCTGCACGGGATTTCCCCCATGTGATAAAGTCCATAGTTAAGATGAGACAAGTGCTATGTTGCTTGGCAAGACCAGAACGCATTCCCATATTTGACTCCCTCTGCAAATCCGTTAGCTGACTGGAGAGAAGTCTTGGTTTAAAAAGATTTGGCTTTTTATTGTTTATAATTCAATATTAGTATCTTTCTTGGGTATTAAGACAGAGCAATTAGAGAGGATATACATATTTAGGAAATATTTTCTCAGCCTCAGAAAATCCTGTGATAGGTTTGCCTTGAGTCACCATAAATTGGAAACGACTTAAAGACACAGAACAACAACAACAACCTATTTCAGTTAAACCTTACAGACCAATTTTTGAGGGAAAAGGATTATGTAAATGTATGTGACTTATGTAAAACACATTGATTGCAAAGAAGTAGCCATGTTAGTCTCTTGCAGGATATAAAGGTGGAAGAGAGGGGAGTGTTCAGGACTTCCCCCCCTCCGGCCTTTTGAATCCTATGTGGCCATTGCTGCACAGGACCTGGAAGGCAGCCACTCGCTCCTCCCAGGGTGTACTATCCCATTAAGTGACACTCTTTTCTGGGATGACACCTGGTGCAGTCCGCACCACTGCACCCCCTTCCCAGTGATGCCACTGTCATCTTGCCCAGCACATTGAAAATTTAAGGCAAAGGACATGGATCCTTTCTGGATCCTATTACATTCTATTCCCACAATTCCCACAACTATATAAATATGTTTTATACCTGTCATTTTAATACCACTCTGCACTGCATCTAAAAAAGTGGGTTTTATACGTAGTGCGATATGAAGCGCTATATAAGTGAAGCTGCTTTGCTTTGCTTTGCTAAAATAAAAACTAAATAGTCTTAAAGGTGCTGCCACATTCCTCCCCCCCTTCCTTTTTACATTGATTGTAAGCATATCAAAGCTGTTCTGTTTATAGAAAAGGACTGGCAAATTGAAAGAATCAAGCCATCACTTGAGAAGACATGAATGTAACTGGATTTGAACATCTGGATTACTGTGAATACTTCTGCCTTAATTGGTACCTGGTAAGTCAGGGATTCAACATAAGAATATTAATATGTAGTTGTGCATTTTGGTTGTCCCCATAAAGGTATCATTGTTTGAATGTTTTTGAATATTCCTGAATGTTTGGGAATCATTCTTCTGTTGCTGGTGTGTAGTATTCAAAAGTATTCAGGAAGGTTATAGACATCCTAGACTATAGCTAGTGAGAGGTAGCAGGAAAACAATTTGGAGCCAGTTTGGGTGTTTGAATTTTAGAGGGAATGGAAGCGATGAGTTGGCTGAAGTTGGGCATGCTTGGGTATAGTTGGTCCTTGGTAACCTGATAGAGGAA